CTGGTAGAAATTCAGTTGGGAAATATGCTTCTACTGCTGTTTACCAATCCCAAACTCATCCTGTAAATCTTAATAAGGTCTCAAATCTGGCAAGGAGGGATACCCATGGGAGAGCTTTAATGATTTGACAGTACTAAACGTGTGTAGAGGACAAGCAGGATGCTTTGTCTCTAGACTTGTAAAATGTGAAGTGTTACTGAGTTCTGGCAAGTTACACATTTTACATACTATAAATAAGGATAACAAGGCAATGAAAACAGAGGCGGAGAATCTGAAAACTCTTTATTAACAAGACAAATATTTCTTTGCACCATTAATCCAAAATTTCACAAAATGACACTAGAGCTGGGAATTTACAAGTCAGACAATTGCAATAAGGAAGTGAAAGGTCAGGACTTATTTGACATATTTACTTACTTTTGGTTTTGTGGGGACAAGAATCCACTTTAATAGGAAGAAAGACCTTCAGAGTTGCTAGTACATCAGAGATTAGATGTCTCTTTCTCCACTTGTCAACTTACTTTCTCAAACAACATATATAACAATATAATCCACGTGCTTCCCTGGTGAATCATACCTTTTTATTACATCTTTTTTTTTGGAATGATTTGATAAGGACCTTGTTTTGTCATCATTTAGTCTTTTCATCAAGATAGAGTTATGCATATTTCTCAGACAGCTTCTCTTTGCAGCTCTGCTTCCTCATTGCAATTGTGATAGCCATAAAATAGAATTTTCTAAAATTGGAGAACAAGCTGATATGCTTCATCCAGCAGAGCTGCAGGCTATTTTTCATGATTGCACATACATTGTGTTGATTATGATGAAGCCAAAGGATTTTTAAATAGGAAAAAAAAAAAAGGAAACAATAGTCTTGCCAATAGGAGATTGTGGAAGCTCCTGAAAGAGATTAAAGATGAAGGTTTCTTAGGAAATTGTTATTGTTCTGAGTTATACTGAGGTAGGTGAGTATTTTCCCTCTTTTTACTGAGCAATTGCTCTGGTATTATTTTCTCTTCTCTTAAGTTTGTTGATAATATTTTTGTATCACAAAGTATATAACAATTTGATGTGTATGACAGTATTTTTGTATGTGCAAATTATTTAGTAAAGAAAAAATACTGCGTTGGAACTACTGCAACACTGGCTTATTAAACAGCATCTGCCATTCAGAGATCTCCTATTATAAGGGCTCAATAAGATAGGAACATGTACATCAGTGTATAAAGAGAGAAACTCAGGTACAGAAGATGTACATCAAGCAAACTAGAGGCAGAATAAACAAAAAAATAGACATGTTGTGGCTTTCAAGACAGGGACATATATATTTGTTAAAAGGGTAGATGCATTTGTTTGCACTTTGTTTCTTTCTGGATTATCATTAAAAGCGATTTGTGCAGATTCCTACAAACAATTGTGGAGCTGCTGTTCCCTGTGGTCTTTACGTTGGTAGAGGTTTGGTCTAGAGGTTTGTATCCAGGTTGACAGCAAGCTTCAACATGGGCTGTGCATCCTTATTTCTTAGGGTTCAGAGAAGAATATTGTTACCGACCAGAATTCAGCTCCCATGTTTGCCACTGATTTCTTATATCATCCTAGCTTGCGTGTTTTGCACTTAGCATTTAGCAAAAAAAAGTTTCCCATTGCCTCTGGCCCTCAACAGAACACGACACGATACCAGCGGTGGGTGCCGCAGAGGAAAAACCCAAAGAAGCTGGGAAGCTTGAATTTATAGTAACAATGTTTAAAGTAGATCTCATTTATAAGGAATAACTCAAACATTAATATGAATTAACTTTTAAAGTGATTCCATTAAACTGCATTAAATTCCATAGTTAACATGTTTATTGAAAATAAAAATGGTCTTAGTTTGAATTAGTTCCCTGCCAAAGTGAAATTAAATAAATAGAAATAAGTCCACTTTTATTCTTCCTGAAAGTGTTCACAAATACTCTTCAGCTAATCCGCTTTCAAGTCACACTTTTAGTTAAGTCAGGTTCATTTTCCTGATTGCCCCTATTTAGATAGGTCTTTGGAAATGGGCTCCACTTGCAAAGCGCAGGTTAGGATGTGAATGTAAATTAGTGAACTCTAAGCCTACTATTGGGATCCTGCCTGGGTCAGGCCAATGCAGCTTTGCCCAGTTAACCTCTTTTACCCTTCAGCAGCAATGCCTTTAACATCATTTTACTGTTATTAATGCTGCCCCTTTCTGTAACTTTTCAAGCGAAGAGACATTGGGCTCTTCTGAGGTAAAGCCCAGCAGTGGCTAATAGCAGGGCTAGTGGCACTGCTGCTGAGGAAAATAGTAGTGACAGCAAGAAACATGGATAAAATTGGCACTGAGACTCTAACATAGTAAAGATCAGTTTCCAGAGAAAATTACTCCCTTGTGTAAGCTGGCAGCGAGACCATTGGGGAGATCCTGCCACCCTTTATCCCCCTCGTGACAAGAGAAACCAGGGAGTTTTATTCCCCCTTCTTGGGGGAAGTTGTTACTCCGCCTGTCCCGTTTCCAACCTAGCATTTCAAATCTTTGTTTTCATTGCACTTGCCACTTCCCGTAAATTCACGTTATCAATGATAGCACCACCTCCTTCTCTCACAAGCACACCTGTACTTTCTGCTGGGTAAAGGCTCACTCGGGGGCGGGGTGGGGGCTGTCCTGAATCTATTAGGCAGGTTGCTTCTTAACCTGCACTCAGTCCCTGCTCAACATTTGTTTCTAGTGTAATTCTGCATTGTGTCAATGATAGAGTTTTCTGAGAGAAGGGGAGACAGTCTGATGTAGTCTTAATGCAAAGAAGATGCAGTCCTGGGACACGTGTGAGAGAGGAGAACTGAGGTTGGTTGTATGAGGAATAGCATGGGGAAGGGCAAGAAGACTCGTAAGAATCCAGCCTTGTTTGAGAGGAGAAAGCTGTGTGGCACAAGGGAATTTTGTGTCTCCTCTGAGAACTAGAGAGTGGGGCACTGCTGCTGTGGGTCTAAGGAATTTCTAATTTTTTCTTCAAAAAGGCATTTTGATTCATGTTTCTGACTGGCAAGAAATCGGGTTGAAAAAGGGAACAGACCTGTTCCGACCAAACTGTTGGAGCAGTTCTTTCCTTGGTTAATGGGAACTGAGCTCAGCAACTGAGGAGACTTCTTCCAGTCGTAAGTTCTGCTTAACTGCAACTAGTTGCTCAGACCGAGTGTTGACTTCACAAACAGGCCAGCTGAATCATGTGCTATCAGTGCCCATTTCTCCTCATTTAAGTATATAAGGAATTTAGGATGACTAGTTCACACGTAGGCACCTACAGTGCAGGATGAGGTGACTCACACTATGATTAACTTCAGAGAGTTGGCAAGATCCAGCCAATTCAGACACTTATGCTGAACACAAGAATAGCAATGATGACTCCTGTGTGATCACACATGTGCATAGGTTTAAGCATGTGTTTCGTCATTACCTGCATGATTAGAGTCCTTTGAGGCTAAAACCATGGGAGAGCCCTTGTGGTGCATCTGTATGATGTTGTATGACATCTTGTGAATGTACCACCTTTGGGCTCCACTGGTGCAGGATTCCTTGAGCTCTGTTTGGTAATAGATACAGACCAGACCTACAGTGTCACCATTAATACTGCTATTCCTTTGTGTTAATGTTATTCTAGACAAGTATCAAACACTATTCTATGATGAATATCTTTATTTATCTTGACATGCCCAATTCATGCTTATAAATCTGAAAAAATAATGTGGAACTGTGTTAGATTTGAGGTTATTATGAGCTGAATGTGAGAAGTTTGTGGTGGAGATGAGATTCTTAACAGTTTATAATTATTAATTAGTTCCTGTTCCGATGACCTAGAAGCTGAATCTTTTAAAAATAAATCACTGTAATTTATTGTTGTAGCTAAGTGTTGTCACATGGAGCTGATACATTTTGATGCTAATAGTAAAATAAATGTCATTCTATCTCATAACGCAAAACACAATAAGACTCTAAAAACCTGTCAAAATATCCTTTTATTCCAGTAATATACGTACTGCTTTCAGTGAGAAAATGAATGTGGTTTGGTCTCTGGAGCCTACAGCATGGCCTAGTCAAGTTGACTGAGATGCATAAATAGTGTGGGTACATAAATGGAAGCGGAGATATAGATGCATTACCTGCATGTTCTCGGGGGCAATGTAGCTGGGTTTAACACTGATCTTTTAAAAATATTTTCTTAGGCAACATTCTGATTTCATGCATTTTATTCAGCTCTTTGGTGAATTTACTATTAAATTTCACATTTCCTTTCATATAGTCTCTGAATTCCAGCTTGTCTTGCCATCCATTATATGCTGGTATGAAGGCAAGTTCACTTCTGCTGTTACTCTTTGCTTTACTGGATCTAGCCCTCTGAATTTCACATTCAATTACAAGAGTAGAAGTTGATTTAAAGAATAGGTGGACAAAAAGCTACAACATTAATGCATGGATAAAAAGAAGATGTAAAAGAAAGCTAAAGATAATCTTAAGAAGTTTTCTTAGATAAAATGTCATAAACTATAGTTGAAATTGCACCATAAATTTATTCTATAAGAAAGCCAATAAAGGTTTCTTTTTGAACTGGAAAATTACAAAGAAGCTTCCTGGTATTTCATACTTTTAGTGGTTCAACCTTGAGAGATTTGAAAGCAAGATTTGGATAGAAGCACCAGCTTTTTTTAATAAGTTCTGAAATGCAGGATGATCTTGTGCATGTTACTAAATCATCAGTTTTTAGTGTAGCTTCTGTTCTGGCTCTGTCATATATTTCCTCCACAGAAGTCATTTAATATCTTGCAGCTTCTGTTTTTCTTCTGTAGGAAAGAGACAAAACTTCTCAGGTCTTCCCCTTTCTTGTAAGTCTCAGTTATTTATGTTGTAAACTTTTAAAGCAAGGAATATCTCTGACTATCAGTTTTATAATCTGTAACACCTACCTGTGGTAGAGCTGAGAGATGCTTCCACAACATTTAAAATAGCGATGGAAATGAGAAGAGGTTAATTCAACAATGCGAGCTTTTTCTGAAGCAACAGTTCCTGGAATCTCATGATTCAACCTGTGCGTGATGTAAACATAATGATTTAATTACTGTGTGAAGCAGAGTATATGTGCACGTGCCTATTAAATTAAGAATATGTATTTGTGAGTTTCTACTTCTTACAGGGAAAACCCAGAAATGTGATTTATGTTTCCCCAAAAGGCTCAAAAATCAGAAGGAATTTTAATTAACTCCCCACATATCATTTTCAGGCCTCATGAATTTAAAGCACATCTCAGTAGGCACCTGTATCACTTCAGAATACAACCTCTCTTTTAATTGACAGCTGGCAACCAAGGCTATCTTCTTTTTCTTATCCAACTCAGGACAGAAGACTAAAATACACAGAGCAACCATAATGATTGGGATTTCTTTGCATTTCTCTCTCCAGAAAGATTTATAGTTCAATACTGTTCCTCTCAGAGAGCAATTGAATTTGCCTTTTCCTGTACCATATACACTTGTTTTGCACTTCTTGGAGTGCTTCCACAGAGAAATTAAATGACAGTTTTCATGCGAATAATTTGTGAAAATTTTATATGTGTGTGTGTGTGTGTGTGTATATATATATATATATATATATATACACATATATATGCGCACACACACACATACACATGTAGTGAGCAAGCACGCTGGTGTCCAGGCTTATGTGTGTGTGTGTGTGTATATATATATATATATATACACATATATATGCAAGTTGTGTAAAACAAATGCAACAGTTTTTTCGTGTTAAGTATGATACTAAGAAGATGCAGTTGCTAAGCTATTTACTATTTGTTTGCTTTTTTAACTTTGATCTGTGAGAATAAACTTAAGATGGTAGTTGTTGCCCCTTCCGGACTCAGTGATTTAGCATCTCAGGAAATGCAGGTTCATGAAATTGTATTCTCTGCTACCTGGAAGTGATGATAGCTTTGAATAAGACATTATTGGAGACAGCATCTCCTGTGTTTTGAAAATCACTATGTAAAGCAAATAAGTTGGCAGAAATATAGGAGAAGTTAAGGACAATGATATTTTTGTTACTTAAATGGCTGCCACGCTCAATCTTACTCTCTTTTAGCCTAGTAGAGTGTGTGTGATGAGGGTGGGTGCAGATATGAAAGGGGGACTGTGAAATCTCAGGCTAGGGGTAGTGAAGTTGAGGGTGGCTTGCATTTGGTAGTTCTCATATCCAGGCTCTAATCCTTGGGGGAGAATTTCTTCCCACACGTATTTGCTAACCAAAAGGAACATACCTGAGAAGAAATCATTTTTTTTCTCAAGATCCTTTTCTTAGGACACACCCATCTGCTCAAACAGATCACAGTAGCCCATGAAAGGTTCCCCATTCCTAACCTTGATATTTAATAAAAATACCAATTTTTAACAGTTTTCCAAAGGGTTAATGGCCTCCACTCCAGCTTGAGACATGCTGATGCCTCTTTGACAAGTCTAAGCAGTTTCATTTCATGGCCAGAATATGATAATCTTTCTTTACTGAATGTGAATGCAAATTTTAAGTGAGTTAATATTCAACGACAAAGAAATCACTTTCCTATTGTGAGTGAAGGACTCCATGCAGAGTGGCAGGGCATAGTTCAAACCTTGGTACGTAACCTTCTGTACACTGAAAATATATGTTTCTTACAAATAGATACACTGAGAACCTATCTTTAAATACTCTTAGAATGAGAACAGTATGTGAACATCACTCTTGATGGAAAATGGGGACAATGAGATCCAGTTAATTTAGCATGATGGTAATTTTGGCTTGCTAGGATTGAGGGACAGTGCGATAATAATACAAGAGTAAAATCCTCATGAGTGGCTCTCAGGGGAGCTTTTGGCCTATCACTATTTTGAAGATTTCAACAGAGAGAAACTAAAACTGCATAGTGCTAGTGACGGCCATGATTTAGTAACACTATCAGCGTAGGAATTCCCTTTCATTAATTTTGCAACAGTTCTCATTCTTCCTTAAAACAGTTTCACATGAGAGAGAAGGAGATCCAGGCTTGATCTCTAGTAAGATGTGCACGTAATTTCACGAATAAAAAGAGCATCCATTTGAGCATTTACCATAGACAGGACAATGTGACTGTGTTGTCAGCATGGTTAACTGCATCTAGAAATCACTAAAAGCCTGTGCCTAGCTACCTTATAAGTACTTCTAGGACATGCACATCCATAAAATAACAATTGTAGAGTGTATATTTATAATACTGATGCAGGTGATTCAGAGCTCTTCTTGCTCCTGTATCATCGTTAGGCCTTTTTGGTTATATCATCAATAAGACTTTTATCCTCACTCGGATCTTCATATGAAGCACAAACAGTCACTCTGTCCAACAAACATCAACCTGTGTATCAAGCTATCTGAAAAGCTGTACTATTGTCATCATCCTTCATTTTTTGTCCTATTTTTTGTCACATTAATTTGTTCTTTCAAATTAGATCAAGCGCTATTGGAACAGAGTCAAAGTTTATTTCCATTTTTTGTCTAGTTCTTGTATAAGAGGGCTTTATTGTGCAAAAGTAGAGCTTAACTTAAATGACACACTGTTGTCTAGCAAAGTTTCTTAGAAAAGTTATATCAGCATTGAGATTCACTTACACAGGCTATGGATTTTCTCCCTTGAATTTATACAACTATACAGTAGTTCATTCTGATAACTCAAACGTGTGAACGCTAAGTTGTGAAGGAGACAATCAAGATCTCATAGAGGCAAAAATGAGAATCTCCAGCAGTGTTTCTGAGGTGCTAAAAAGAGGTTTTCGTTGATGTCATACATATGGTTCCACGGATAAAATGTTGGTATCTCTCCAGTTGTACTTAAAGTTTGTATCTCTAATCCCCTTGGCTTTCTTGTCTCCAAGCTATTATTTGTTTTAACTTAAACTGAAAAATAAAAAGATGAAATCTGCAGGCTTTACCATGTATGTTGAACTTATGTGTGCAAATATCCAAAGCTGTGTGCACATCCAGTTACTGTATGCAAAATTGTGAGCTTATAATCTCTTTCTGTCATTATAAAATAAATTTTGGAACCACAAATAAGTCAGAATTATTTTTTTTTTAAGTGCAACTGAAAAAATTACTTAGTAATGAAAGACCAAAGAAACAAAATATGATTTTAGCCTGAGATCTAGTTTATTTTAGGGCAGTAAAGTGATCATTACTATCTAGTGGTTCCTTCTATAAGTTGTAATAAGTAGTTTAAGACCTAGTAGAAGGTTCACGTAACGCATTTCACGAGCTAAGTTCCTTAACATTTTTGTCTATATGTGTTTCATTACTAGATGCCCTCAAGATTTTCTCAGTCTTCTCTGGATACCTAAATATGTCTGGGTTACTGATAGATGTTTCAGTGGTACTTTCACACAGATGACTAATATATACACTTCAACAACATAGGCCTAACTTGGAAGTTCAGATTATCCCACTGATAACTTTTTTACATATGTCAAGCTGATTCTTTCTCCTTTGTGCTTGTTTTCTATCGTCTTGCCATTTTCTAAAAATATTGCACATTCTGCCTGTTGGAGCAAAATCTTGGTCAGGGGAGTCAATTTTTAGCTTTTTTAATAGCCCATTGTGAAAGACTGTATCACAGGCTTCCAGGAGGTCCTAATAGACTATTTTAACTGGTTCTCCTTTACTCATTTGTTGTTAATACAATAGAAGAGTGCTAGCCTGTCTAGGACAGGACTTGCTTTTCTCTAAGCTGTGTTGCTCAGTCCCTTCTAGTTGATGTTCATGTATGCAGTTTGTTTACTTTCCTTTAATTAGTATTTAAACCATTATACCTTGTGCTGAAGAAAATCTATTCTGACTGCTGTTCCTAGAATCTATTCCTTTTTCAAAGTAGGTACATCATTTCCCAGTCTTCTGTAAGAAAGCTGAGCAACTGCTTTAATGAGCAACTGCTTGTGGTTAGTGTCTCAAAAGACAATGCACTGTGTTTATTTCATCTATTTCCTACGCTCTGGAGAGCTTTAAGCTTCACTTACATCTAAAATGAAGATAAATGTGACTGATTAAGTTGGCAATTAAGTGTTGTTTACAGAAATTATTTTTCAAGGGTTTGCAGTTCCTAACCTTGATTCAGGCTGTGATTTGGGATGTCAAAGGTCTTTTTGGAGAGATAGCGTGGTCTAATGTATAAGGCCAGGCTCAGAACCGGAGGCTTAGGTGGAACTCTGTTACTAGCCCTGTTAGGGACTTGCTGTATGATTTTTGGCAAGTCGCTTTATCTGTGTGCATCTCCACTTCCCTACAAGTAACATAATAATTACCTTATTTAACAATGAACTTTGAAGCTCTCTTGAGTGCTAACTTGGGCCCTCCATTCCTCTTTTTTTAGATGGCTTGTTGGTGTTCAGAACTGCAGTAGGAGAGGGTTTAAGCAGCAATACTTCTCATTTCAGCTGTCATTTTATGAATAGGGTTCAAACCTAATCTTGCCTTTCAAATTCATGTAAACATGGAGTCATTGCCTTCGTGGAGTCATTACATTGCAGGTGAACAGGTACAGCTGTGAAAATCATTTCAGAATTTTCTCCTCAGCAACCTTTCTGGAGTTTCATAATGTATTAACTCTGTTTCTAGTTTTTGCATGAAGCCTTTCAATAGCACTGTAGGTCATATAAACCCAAAATTAATCGAAAGAGGATCCTGTCCTTGTGAGAAAGAAAAAAATCATTGACACTCATTCACATTCATATTTTCTTCTCGTGCTTTGAAAGAAGATGAAAACAACAAAGGTAAATGCTTTTTACTGTAAGGTTTTTTCATGAGGTCAGAGGGGGAAGTGCCAGGTAGCTTTAGTTATAAAGATTATAGCACAAATTGAACAAGAGGGTTGAACAACTGAAGCTGGCGCAACCCAGTGAGATTACTGGAAACAGAAATGTATGTGTATCTGTATTTCCAGTAAATCTGGAAACAGCTCTTAAGGCAAAGAGCTAACCTTACTGAATCTGCCTTTACTACTTACTGCCTAACATTTTATATACTCTGGAGCGTAGCTGCAGCTAGAGTGTTAAAAACCTGTATAAATATTTCCCCAACCTCTCTTCTATATAAGCATCTTTCCACACTTAGAGCATAAACAGGATTTGGCATGCATACCTCCTGTGCATGGTTTGCGAAAGATTTGCTTGTGCTTTATTCAAATGTTCAGTATATTTGTTCCAGCCTTTTCCCCTGTGAGTTCTAATGATTTTCATTTTCTCAGTACAATACATATAATAGTACCTTGGTCTAATGAAATCAGCAGAGGGTTGAGCTATTGAAATTTCTGTATTCTAGTTCCAACTATAGCTTGTTTGGGAAGGTCATTTTTGTAATGTAATTGTGGATCACCAGATGGCACTCTTGCAGGCAGTATATCAAGTCAGAATCCCCATTTGTAACAAGGCAAAAGAATGCATAACTCACTTTACACTTCTGCTTTCGGTAATCTCACCAGGCTGCACCAGCTTCAGTTGTCATCCTCTTGATACTGCCTCACAAATCTGTTTTCCAGCTCCTGATCCTGTTTTCTCTATCCAATATGTATTTTACATATTCTCCTACGTCTATGACTCTCACATCTCCTCCTAACTCTCTTCCCGTTACATGAAACTTAATATCATTGCCTAAATTGAAGTCTTAATTTTCCTCAGAAAACACTTTTCACTCCCTTTTTTGACCCTAGTTCAAAACACTGTCATGCTCCCTTCCTCTCAAGTTTGATGTGGGAGTTTAAGTTGGACTCCTTTCCTTTCCTTCCCTCCTCATTTCTGATTGTTCTTGGTTCCTCTCTGGATCAGTATCAAAGCTCACATGATTTTGAGTGTTGAGCAGTGCAACCTCTTCACTGACTTCTCTAGAGGAGAACTGAGTGCACCAGTGCGTTGGGGCAACAGCAGGAATAGACAGCTTATGTTGGAGTGAAAAAACAAATCTTACTAAGGCACTGTACTTGGAACTATACTTTCTTGTCTAGGAGCAATACCCAGCTCCTGGAAACATCTGTAGCAATATAGCCAATATACCCCCTTCTCTATCTTATAACTACCACAGCTAGATGATAAAACCTGGGGTCAGGTGCAGAGAAATCTGAGAAGCCATTGTCATATGGGTGAGGACACCACTATAAATGATCAATGTACTAGTCTAGCTTTAGAGGACCCTGAGATAGGAGAGTGCTGAGCAAAAGGTCTGTGTCTCCCACCTTATGGATTATATAAAATGCTGCCCTTAGGTCAGTGCTCTGGTTGGTCCTTCTACTTATTTTGGGCCCATTGCCCCACCTTCCCACCTACTCACAGCGGTTCCTGTTCAGTGACACCTCTCTTGATGCCCAAATCTCCCTACAGATTTCCCTGTGCTGTTTTTCTATATAGCTGTCCATTTGCAGAATATTCTTTGGTCATTTCTCTCTTCTCCATCAAACACTCTGTCAGCACCCATCTTTGTTTTGACAGGCCTCTGTAGTGGCAAATTTCCCTCATTAAGAGTTATTGCAGAGCCTGCAATTCCATTTAATAGTATGCAAGCAAATATGCGTTACCTTATACAGCATTCTCTAAGCCGCTTCCCCTTCAATGGCCATTCCCTTACATTTTCAGAGCAATGCATGTAATTTAGTCTGTGTGACTCTTATCAGCTGCAAAGAGCTAAATCCTCACCTAAATCTTTGAAAATTCAGGGGTGCGTTTCCAAATCTTAGATTATCTATCACTCTAATCAGCTCAATAAATCTGATTACAATCTTTCGAATAAATAATGTTGGCTTTTGCCTGAAGCTTTTACTGTTTCTCAATCTGTATCTATCAAGTGAAATTTTATGTGCACTTGACAATTGTTATTCCATTGTTAGGAATTCTGTTACTACTGGCTGCAGTAACATTCATCTGAATGATACGGATGTAAAAGATTCTTCTTTGCTCTCACACAGCAGTTAAATTATAAGATAGCATTAGTTAAAACCCAGTGTCACTATTATGAGAAGCTGTGTATCTTATGTTTCTCATTCTCATTCTAAAGAGGTTCTTAAAACATTCCAGACCAAAGTTAAAGCACCATATCCAGAAGTGATGAGGAAAGCTTAATGATGAGAATATGGAAAAGAACTTCATTATTTCCAGCTAAAAATGATATTTCCTACCAAGAGTTAGAAGTTGACTCAGCTAGAAAATGACCTGAAATAATGAATTTTTCCCATTTTTTCAAAATATCAAGTTTGAGTTCATCCAAATTATATTGTTCCACGTTTAACTGGTATATGTATCCAGAGCTGAGATGTGTGAAATAATCAGTGAGGATCTGAACACAACCATAGTTAAGCACATCTGTCAGATGATTAACAGAATCCCTATTGCAATGCTTGTAATTTACATTCACATACAGAAGCCTTTATCTTGCTGGTATTAGTCTAAAACACAGTTCCAAAAAAAATTGATGTTAGTGGCATGACAAAGGTGTTCCTGTGCTATATATTTACAATCTTCTCATATTTAGTAAGTGAAATAGAATTCATCTTTTGTCACTTAGGGCTTGATCAAAACTTCCCTTATGTTCCTAAACTTTTCAGTCATGCACATATTTGTGCAGTGCCCTGAGAAGGGTACAGGAGGAGAATGCCATTACTATGAAGAACAAAGTGCAAGTGAGGGTGAAAGTGTCATTAGAATTGACAGTCATCGAGGAACTGGTTTGAAATGCAGATCATTTTAATTTTGTGCCCAAAACTGGTAATCCTGGGAAATATTGTCAGCTCTTTGGGCCTCTGATGGCCTGTCTCTTCCCACTGGCATCACAAATTGTTTGGTGCATAAGATGCCTCTTGTTAGATGTATGATCAGGCTCTAGATCAGTTGAGAACAGTTACTAGCAGTGCACAAAGAATTCTTGATGAAATGCAGAGCCAGTGACAGTCTTGTCTGGGGCCTTTAAGTGTTATAAGTGTTACAAAAGGGGTTATGAAAGAGAAGTCAATGAGAATCTTTGCAAATGCAAAGAGCTCTGGATCAGGCTTGTAGATAGAAGATCTGCAAGCAACATGCCACTGCTGCAGTAAGGGAGAAGCAGGCATTAAACTAGCATTGTTCTGTAGTGCATGATACTGTTGGAAAAATGAAATTCATACAGCATGTAAACCCAGTGACCTGGAGAGCTGTTATTAATAAAGACCAACAGTCATTTATTCGAGATATCAGAGGCATTAACTCTAGCAGTCTGGGTAAAATCCAAACTGGCAAATACTTATCAGAGGGATACAAAGCATTCCTAATGAAATGCAAAGCTGGTAGCAATTCAAGTTTTGGTGTATTTCATTACAGACATCAGTATGAGCTTATCTGAGTGATGTGCACACACTTTAAGTAAAATTATACCTAGAATCCCAAGAAGGTGGAAGAATCATTGAGCATATCTGCCTTGCTGAGTCAAAGTGATCACATTTTATAGATCATGTTGAAATATAAATATTTATATTATATAAGATCATGTGGAAAGCATGTGAAAATTCATGTTCATACAGGCATTTGGATTGGAGGGATGTATTCCCTGAAATTCTTAAAAATACTCAAATCTGGGCAGGATAGAGAGGAATTTGGAAAAAGTATAATTAAAAAAAGGAAGAGTATCTCTTTTAACATTTAATTAGATTTCATACATCACTAGAAGGTGCGATATTCCCCATACCACATCCCTGAACATATTATAATTTCTCTAAATCTTCCTGTTACTCTCCTGGAAAACTATCTCTTATGGTTACTAAAATGGATTTAGATGTCCAAATAAGCTATAATCTAGAGCTGTTTATCCTCAAAAGGTAAAAGTCTGGCAAAACTTCCATTTTAGGTCATTAAATTCTCCCAGCAGCCTAAGCACAGGTACCAGTATACACTCTGAAATAATTCAAGTAACAGCTAGATATTTAACTGACACTTAGGAGGCTATCAGGAGTCAGGAGTTTAGGTCAAGGAGGCTCCCTTTAAATTCCCCAAAAGGTCTAGTGTGTTCAGACAGAATTTACCACACCTAAACAGAGTACAGAGGCTATCTTTCATATATAGCTTAGACTCACTTTATTCAGATAGCAGAATACACATTCCAGGCTCACCTCAGTCTGAGTATAGATACAGAACCACAGTTTACGTTTTCTGGGAGCCAGCCCTAACCTCAATAGATAAACTCTTATGTCACAGTGGATGCTAGATTTCTGGAACCAGCGAGACCATAGCAAGGAAGACTCTAACTACGCAGTCTGGTGAGATGATGAACTCCCAGAGACTTGTTCTGAATAAAAGAAAATCTTTCCTGTTTCTTTCTTCTCTGACAAATATTACCCTGCCTTTCTCCGACCTTCATCACAGATGTAATTTGTTAGCATTTATAGCAAGGCAGATGGGTCTGCCAGTCTTTCATAGAAACTTTGTCATTCTGCATTTTGCAAGGGCTGAAAGCCTTTTGGAAATTAGAAATGTCACCTACAACGTCAAGTTGAGTTAAATGTCCTTTCCCGTTCATTTTCACTTACCCGCTTAGCCTTAGAGCTTTTAGTATCAGCTGCCCTTCTCCAGCTGCAGTGGTGCTCACGTTGACAGGGAGAAGTGACAAGAAATATAAGCGTGGAGGCCAATGAGGTTCTGAAAGCAAACAGAAGATCAGGATTTGAACAGACAGCAGCAAGAGCTTTGAAATAATCTGCTTCACTGAAAGGTTTCAAGGGAGGAAAATCTACATGTGCAGAGAATATACTGAAATGGTTGTGGTGCTGACAGTCTCAGTCTTCCAGGAAAGTAAATGAAATTTCTGAGTCACTGAACATCCTGGGTGAGTTCTGGTAATTCGCTGAACAATGAGGCTGTTCCACATCTGGATGTTTTAGGCATGGTGCTCCCACTCAGTGCTGGCTCTCTGCATCGTCTATCTAGTATCTTTCTGATTCTTTTAAGGTTAACAAAATTGTAACTAGTATTATGGTTGTAAATGCCAATGCAGCCCTCAAGGGGCAAATGAGATTAGGACCCAAGAAATGTATTAGTAAGAGGGTTAGTAATAAATCTAAATAAAGGAAGGTAGACAAAGTATTATTTTTATTCGCATTTTATCAATGAGATATTGAGATGCTATGAGTTAAGTCTAAGTCTATACTGTTTTTTAAGCGCAGAGTTCTTGCAAGCCCACAAATTTCATTTTGATTCTTTTCCAGTTATGATCATAGGCCTATCGTTGACTCTACAGCAAGGGAAGACAGAAAGTTTTGGCTTGCCTTATACTTCAGCGCAACCCAAAGGATGGCCCTGCACTCAGTGTGTAAGAGTTCAGGACGTCATGACTGTTCCTGTTCCCACCATATGCTGCGGTTTACTGAAGAGGTTAGGAAGCACCCCAAAGCGATTGTTGTTCTAAAGAGAACAACAATTCTCTTTGCCTCTATTTGCCTCATCTCAGTGAAGAAGCAGAAACGTATACATAAACTCCATTGAACAGCTAGACTGTTTAGATATTCATATAATATAAGATTTTAATATGTAGACCAACACAGAACACAAAGTTCAATGAAAGGTATATTCCCTGCTGGAAAGAGCCGAGTAACCACCAAAGGTAAGGGTCAGACTTTTTGCATTTCATTGAGGCAAAAAATTGTTTTACCAACTAGTCACATACAGGAGATGGCACTTAGTATAATAAAAAGCTATTTACTTAGTTACAGAACAGAAGCACCAGTTATTTTAAAAAAGATGAGGCCAGTCAATTTCCTGTTCAGGAAGGAAAAAAAGTCATTTGAACAAAATGAAATAGTTCTGTCCTTCCTTGATGATCTGAGAGAGATCCAAGGTAAGATAGGATGCTCCACTGTGGATACTCCACTATGGGGATAGAATTCATGTCAACTAACTTTATGGGCTTGATTCAGTTAATCTAATGCCATTCTTGCCCTGAAGAATGCAAGACATCTCATGCGGCTTCTAGATTTGACTTAGAGCCTACAGGAGGCTATTGCCCTTCTGGGCCAATAGCTGGAGACAAGACAGTGTCTACACAGGGCATAAAATGACAAAGTTGCCCTTGGAATCTCCTCCCCCTGTATGTCCCCCCCATGTAAATGTCTACACCTGAATTTACCCAAGGATCCCCTAGATGTCAGTGGAGAGAAACAGAGAAACAGACCCATATAAGCTTGGAATTATCTGACTTTATTTAGATGCTCACACTCAGATGGGAAGAATTGTACCATAGAAGTGCATCTCTCTCTCTCGACTTACGTTAAAGGGAACCTCAGGTGACTATTTTAGATATAAGTATGGGATTTAACTCAGAAATGTTAAGGTTACCTACATTTGCACACATAATTCAATTCAAGACTGAAACACCTAAATACAGATGTCTATGAATAAGTGCAGACAGGCATGCAAGGTGCCTAAGCTCCATTATAGTCAACAAAAGTCTAATCAGTGCAGTCAATGGATCTTGGAGACCAGTTCAGTTCACTCTGGAATAGATATAGATTGAACTGCTCACACCTCAATGACTGTTGGAATTCGAGCTGGTGTATTCCGCCTTGCCTGCAGTGGTTGACCTATATCTTATGCAGAACCTGTGTTGCACCTCTCAGCTGTATAAGGAAGTCACAGCCATCATAGGACTATCAAATAGCACTAAATGTCTATGTTTAGGCAGCTGAGATATACCGCTAACGTCTGGCAGACTGAAATCTATTGAGTACTTCTCCACAAACCACAATGGGAGGTGAGGCACCATGTGGGCATGTAGTCAGCTGCATTTGGGTGTCCTTAATATTGAATCATGGAACGGTTGAAGTTTGAAGGGACTATCAGAGATCATCTAGTCCAAACCCCATGCTCCAACAGGGTCACCTACAGTAGGTTGCCCCAGACCCAGAGCAGGTTGCCCAGGACCTGAATCCTTGCCCTACACTTGGTCAGCTGAATCCCACCATGGGACCTTGTCCCCAGAACTTTACCCTGAAGTCTTGGTTTACCAAAAAGGAGCCTGGAAGTCTTGAAATACTTCACTAGAGCTGAAAACCCTTAAAGCTCTCTGAATCCCAGCCAAGCCCTCAAAGCCTTTGGCCCTCAAAGCCAAGCATGTGAAGGGACAGGTAATCCCTCACTTCTAAATATGCCAACCTAAACCTCAGATTGAGGTGTGCTCCTTTGAATAGGGTTTTGAACTTCAAGAAGATGAACATGCAGAGCCTAAAAAGATGGAAAACTGCTCATAAAGGATACAGTGGCATTAGGCAGACAAATGGGCCAGAAAATGTCTATTTCTGAGAATCCTCCTATGAGCTAAGGTGATGACATATATGGAGCTGTACTTGATTAAAGAGACTTTCCTAGTGACACAGCCCTGGTTGTTCTGTAACAAGTCTGCATGCCCTAGGATTGCACACAGTGGCAGTATTAGGGCCCAGCAACTATTGCTGTCAGAATAACCACCTGCTATTCATCAGAGAACCACTGAGTTCATGAAGTTTTAGGATGATATTCTCAGTAGAATTTGGTACTTTCTCAATGAAAAAAAAAATCCCATTAGCTTTTGTTCAGTGTGGATAGAGACATTCTTTTAATCATGAAGGTTTCCCTGTGTCTTTGAAGGAAAATATTAGGAAAGTTACTTTGCTACTGCTGCCTCATCTGTATATGCCCCATCTTATGTACTACACATTGTTGCTCTAAGTTTGCTTAGAAACATATATATACACACACACACACACACACACACACACATGTATATGTGATGTAGAAAGAGACAGCAAGATGACTGAAAGGTAGAGCACAGACAAGACATTTGGTTTCACTGTATCTTTGCCTGCAAAGGTACATTAATCTTGCAAAAGCAAAATGTTATTAATGGTAATTTGAAAGAAAGAAATAGGTTACTTTCAAACTGATTTATTTCTCTGGGCAACATCATTGTATGCTACTGCATTTACAGCTACAATTCAAGGACAATAACGTATGCAATTGCTAGCTGTGGTAGCCAGCCACACTTTCAGGCTTGATAGGCAAATGTCCATTTACCATGACTTCTATTTTCAAAATAGTTTCTTTGTGTTTTCAACATCTGTTGACAGGACCCTAAATATGGGAATTATGCTAAATCTTTGCTCTGACTGCTATGCTTTTGTGTTATGATCTACTGCAGAAATATCAAGCTGAAATTGGATCAGGAAAGCAGACTTGCAATTGTGAGCTATCAAAACGATGTAGTGTTGTTATACAGTATAGTTTCAGAAAAATACAGTGGCAAAAATGATTGCTGTGGCTATTTTTAAGTTGTGAGGATATAAACGTAGAGGCTTGCAAGGCTTCTTTTTCCAATATTGCAATTTGAGATTTTATGTTGACCCAGGAAAATATATTTAATGAGCACCAAAATCTAAGTATTTTGTGGGAGAATAACTTATAATAATGGTTATTTAAACTAGAATATCAATACTTCGAGTTATTTTTCTTCTGAGGCAAAGATCCTGAAAGGGACAGTGCATACTTTGCCAATGTTCAGCACAGTAAAGGAGCCATTAGAGTCAATCACTACGTTTGCTTCACCAAATACCCATGTAAATGATTGTGTTAACGTCTAGTCTATTAGCTTAATAATACTCATTATGAAACTATGTGTTTCAGCTCCAGCTCAGAAAAAGAGGAGGCCCAGTGGAAGAGATTTTGTCGAGCTCCGTACTGGCAGATCCTATTGGAAGATTGGTGTCTGTAACTGAGGGAATCGGATGACACTGCAAGCAAAGTTTGGCCAGTATATGTGCTTCTGAGCTGACTAGATCAAAGCCACTATTTGTGTTAGCTGGACATATATCTACTTGATTTTCCAGTGGTGCAAGGATAAAGTCACAGCAAGGGCTGACAAAGAGCCTGCAAGCCTGTTCTGACATCTTTTCTTCGTTCCTAAAAGAAGAATGTGATGCTCTATGTATATGAAAATTACTTTTAAATATAGCTAAAGCTACAATAAAAATCATCAAAGAATCGTAAAGTTCCCCGCAGAGTCACTTTTAAGATAAAGATTGTACTAAATTTTAGTCACTACCTGCATTGCTAACAAACCAGAATGCCATTTCACAGTAGAGTAAGTAAAATGGAGCAGTTTTTAACCCAGTTTGCATTTGAGAGAGCATGTGTTAGATCTGCTCTTAAAACTTGGCCCATTCCCACTCAAAATGCTCACCAGCCCGTTATAAATTGTGTCAGCACAACATTCCTTCCCTTCCTTTTTTTTTTTTTTTTTTTTTAATAACTATTGAATCTGGATAAAGTCTAGAAAGGATTTTCCAGTTTTGAATCTATCCAAGTCTTCCTCTGGGAAACAAAGGCTCCAAGGAAGCTTTCCATAGTCCAGCCTTTGGACCTTGAGGCCTTGAAAATGAATCTTCATCCCACATACTTCCTTCAGCTTTCAGATACATCCTTTTTAAGAGATTCTACATTAATCTCTCCTTGGACCATGTAGCAGGAAAGCTGAAAATATAGCAAAGGGATGAATTTTTAATTATAGTCCTCTAGTTTGATTTGAAATATCTCTCCTAGATGATATCATATCCTTATTTTAGATTAGATTAGATGAATTGAGCTCATGGCTCAAATGAAGTTTCTGAGGTAAAAACAGAATTATTGTATTGTATGCTAAAGGAATTTATAATTAACAAAGGCATATTTTGCCATGCCATTGCCTCCTGTATTTCACTCACTTTGGTCCAGGAATTTGCACCATATGCTGTGAACTTTTTTTCAAAGTTTCTGGATGTTGGACACCAAAGTATTAGGATTACTGATAATAGGGGTAGACATTTAATTATCCTATCATACATATTCAGGGACATGATCCTGAAAGCAAGAAAGGACGACAAATAGACTGACTTTCTCTGAACAGTCTCTTCCATAGTAACTTCATTAAATGCAAATGGGACTTCAGGGAGGATGCTAATCAGTGTAAGGAAAGTTATGACAATATGGTCTGAAGGCAACTGTGCAAAAGTGTGTTGCGGCAGTTAAATAAGAATGAGAGGGAACTTAACCCTTATTAAATATAAATATTCTTAGTTTTCTGTCTCTTGTTTTTCCTTAATCATATTGTAACCTGAGCATATTTGTTATTGGTTGCAGAAGCTATGTTTAAAAAAAGAAACAATCATAAAAAAACACCTCACATTATATAATTCCCTAGTTTAGCAGAAGGATGTCTGCAGTCAAGCATATTTCCTCCTCTTTCTGCAACACTGACTGAACGGGGAAAAGAGGCAGTAACCTGGTTTATTCTGGAAACAGCAGGTAGTTTGATCTATTTTTACTGCAGATCATTTCCCAGGACACTGTGATTCTTATATTTTTAATCAAATGTGTGAATCGAAAACTGCAGTGTGACCTTTGGAAAAGACACTGCAGGACATCAGCTGAAGCTGTGAATAGTTTAAACACAAACAGGAAGTTGACTTGGTTGTTCTGTAACAAAAGACTGTGGTATTTTATGGAGTAGGAGTTGCAGTTTCAAAATATTTTTAATTGCTATATTTGATCTGCCATGCAGCACTGTGAGACAACAGCTAAGAATGAAATGTCAGTGCCCGTGTTCCAGCATAAATTTATACAGTGTGAAAGCAAAGAACCCTGTTGATTCCAGCTTTTCTTTTTCCAAGTGTTTCAGGTTTGCCTAAATTAACCTGGCCTTTCAAGTTAAATAGGAAGTGCAGAGACCCTCAGTCTTGCAAAGCATTTAAGTAGATGCATAACTTTGTTCATTGTAAGTCTACTTATGATGAAAAGAAATTTTAATATATAGGGGAAATAAAATGGGAAGAGATTTCACAGTGACCTATGTACCTGGGATAGCTCTCTTTGATAAATGGGTCACTGTCAGGATGGAAATGTATTAATATCCACTTCTTTGCTTTTAGTTCATTACTATGGTAACTTAGACCTACAAAAAATTCCAAAAGTTTCACTTATACGAGTGAAGTTACACAGCTACTTAGGCGCAGGGCCCTATATTTTTCTTACTTGATGGAAAAAAAAAATTGCCTGCTGTCATATATTAGAATGGGATATACTCAAAAATGCAGAATGACAATTAAGAACTCGAGGTCTCATCAAAAGTTTATGGAAGATAGACATCCTATTTCCACTGCATACCTTTCAAAATCTCCTGCGTATTTACTTCCTTGGACTGCAAGGTACCACACCAGAAACTGCATGCTGCTTCTCAGTTATCTCTGTGCTACGTACTATGGATATCGAGATCTCCCTGTATACCATGAGAATGAAACTTAAGTCCTCTGCAAGCAAACTCCTGAGTGGTTTCCAGGGGAAACCACTGATCGTTAGTGGGATCAGAAGCGGGTGATCGAGTCAACTATTTTTACTCAGTTTAAGGAATGGATATGCTATTAGACACAAAGGCGAATGGATATGCTATTAGACACAAAGGCTTGAATCTGTTCTGGAAAATGTTACAGTTCTCGTAAACAGGAATGATATTTTGGAGATGACTTTCATTAACTATAGAGAAAACAGTTTATGTGTGGCTCTCCATGCTTTTTTATGCTCCTTCATCAGCTAGGACTACATTTTGATAGCATTACCAGAAAATGCATGGACACAACAAGCAGCTTAGTAATACACTGTATTGGCTTAGAAATACGCTGCATTTATGCATACTTGTCATTTTCAACTGCCCCAAAAGTTGTTCAGCACTTCACTGAATCAAAGTTAACTCTTTCCTTGTTTTTGCTCATGTCTTTTACAAAGAGTAGCTTTTGCAAAAAAAACAGATTTTACTTTATTGTGAACAGTTGGTACAGCATTCTCAGTGACTTAATAAAGAAAACTTAGGCAAGAAGGTTTTCCAGTAGGACTCTTTACAAAACCGTACAGTAGGTGGGATTAGATTTTTCCATGACTGTATAAAAATTGTTTAGATTTCAACCTAAACAGGCAAAATTTACTCAAAATGCATTATTCAGAAGTATTCAGCATTTTCATAGGTATTCAGTTAACAGTTAAGTGAGAGATTTCAGATTCATTAATCACAGGTTTTTTTTGTAATATACTTCAAAACTCACCAGAAAGGTATAGTTTTAGTGGTCAGTATTTTGCAACTAATAAAACTGGAAACCTCTGTCTTTTCATTACAGTATACTCTGCTCTATTATCTCTTCAATTGAAACTTCCGGTTTCAGAAATACCTGTTTAAAACCTTTGTAAATGAGTTAATGATGTCACAAGTTGTTTGCTTACAGTGGTATGAGTGTGAAATGTGTGTTAGGGCATGTGAAAATCCTGCAGCACTAACAAGAAACCTGTTGGATAAGTTTATGTCAACAATTTAATATATTTTTCAAACCCAGAGAATATATTTTTAACCCATTTCCTCCATCCTTAGTCTTAAAGACAGAATCAGAAGCCTTACAGAACACTTCTACTTTCTGGAAGGAGAAACATACAGTGAAGAAAAATGACAGTTGCAAAAATGAAATGAAGTACATAGTCATTTTCATCTCTTAAATAATTGTCATGATGATGAGAAAAGCTTCTTCTCCGGATGAATAAGCACAAAACAATGCATCTTCAATTTTTTCCATGGAAAAATCACAGTAATAATTGCATGTATTGTCAGTAGCCGGGATTCTTATCTTCAAAACCCTGACTGCAGTGAGAATTATAGTAGAAGAAATAAAATAAATAAATGCAAAATACAGACCCAAGTCTTTGACTGACCCTTCCTTTAAAAGGAGCCACTGCCAAGTCAGTTTTATTACTCTCTGTGCAGTGTTGCTGTTGAAAGGAAATTGTGATGACTTGTGGCTTAAGACTGTTTCTCAAAAATTCCACTGAAGTATACAAATGGCAGCTCCTATACAAGCAACGGACAAAATGTACGTTGACTGCAGTGGGGCATGTCGAGTCCCCGAGACAGTGGGTGTTTTTTTGTTCTTTTTCAGCTTGAAGAGTTCACAATCAGAATGCAGAGGATTTGATCAGACTTGTAAAAGAATTGTAATCTTCCAGCAAAGATGTCCAGAACAACTTTGATATGAGTTTGTGTATGGATATCCCTGCTTGTATGGTTATGTTGTTAAAACGAATACCCAATTAATTCAGAACTTTGCTTATTATTCAGTGCTCCTCTTCCCTTCTTTTGCTCTTTCCTTTACTCCTTCTTGGTCTTTGATTTTTTACCATGAATTTTATGCTCATTTAGGTAAAGCGCACCACTGTACTGGGCAAAGTCAGGTGCTTAATCAGAAACATCTGTTCAGAAAAGCCGTTTAGACTACTACTACTATTATAGTTCTGATTAGGTTTGTTATTGGGAAAATAAGGTGAATTCTGTCAGAGTGTAAAAGCCATTTTTGGTAGCTGCAATTACTTTAGATTCAGATCTGAGTGTACTAACCAGAATCAGAGCTACCTTTCTTAATCCTATAAAAGTCGCAAAGCCAACGTAATGGGAAAGGGTATACATATCAGACCTGGCCTGAACACTTTCTCATAGGAAAACATTTCTAATTTAATTCAGTTTCAAAAAACTCATTTGCCAAAGTCTAAAAGATCCATTTCAGCTCCTGTTGAAGCTGGACTTCAGGGTCCACGTGTCTGGGGAGGTTCACCAAACTGATGATAGTGGACTCAAGCAGTTCAGAGCTTCCCAAGTGCCTGCTGCAGTCAGCAGCATTGAAGCCTTGGACGTCAGGGCTCAAGCAGAGGTTTCCGAATTAGGCTCCTGATTTTGCAGCAGGGATATCCGGAGTCCAAGGTACCTCTATTTGAGCTCTGGATTTCCTGTAGCTGGATTGTTCCCTGCTTCATGAAACACTCTTTATTCAACCCACCAAATACTTGCTCACAATCTGTGAATGTCAAGCTAATATTTTTGAAACAAAAGAAAGAATGGAAATACCTGAAAAGTGTAAGTTCAGGGTATCCTGAGAACCTGGGACGTAGAGCTGCTGTACTTGATTTTCGTGAACAAAAACAATCCAGCCTGAAAGTTTCTTTTTCTAAAACCAAAAAAAAAAAAAAAAAAGCCCATCTTCATCTTTACAGGAAACTACAGAGTTTTTTTTTCTTCTTCATTATACATGGGATACATTTAAAAAATACTGGAAAGCTGAACAGGAATTCCGTATTTCAACCATTTCAAGAATATACAAATCCCAAAAGAATCTACCTCTTCATGAATAGCAGTATGTGACTAAGAAAAGACAAGAATATTCCTGTGTGTAGGGAGATCTACTGCATTAAGTTTTCACGTACCTCCCATCACAGTGGGATACTACTGATTTGTTAGACACTACAGAATTTGAAAAGATGTCTTCAAGGTGCCTTGTAACAATTGCCTAGGCCATTCAGTCCCTTAGTGAAATACCTTTTCAAAGAGTACTCCATCTTTATTTCTCCTACTGTTTCTAAATGTGTTGTTTATATTAAGAAATTTATAATACTGACATTTAGCATTTGGCAGTGAAATATAATGTTCTTTAGGTTAATTACCCTTCCTACACACAGTGACAAGTACTATAAGATATAGTATATAGAACAGCTGGGACATTTTTGTGTGGGATTTCACAAACCTAAATCTCCCATGAGTAATGTGAACGAAATTTAGTGTGGGAAATGTTTTATGGCAGTATAGACTGATATGTTTAATTAAATGCTGTATACATACATATATGCTCCCTCAGCGCCATTACAGCCTGTTCCTTATTACCGACTGTGCTTTGTACATAAGGAGAGATTCAACATTTGCAAAACAATTTTGAGTGGTCAATGTTTTATGGAATAGATCCAGCTCCACTGAAATAATTAAAAAAAAATCAGCAGGACTTGGGTCATGGCCCTCAGTCAGTAATTTCAGTTCAGCAAAGCTGCACAGATTAAAGAGAGGTTTCTGAAACATTCCCAAATTTAGTCAAGCAGGGATGCCAGCCAAAGAGGGGCAAAAAGGTGAATCCTTTGGGGGTATTTTTTGTTTGTTTTGTTGCTGTTGTTGTCATTATTTTTACATAACACATGATTTCTAGATTTACATTAAAAAATGCAGAAACTGAAAGCACTTGTTGAAGACAAGTGTACTTACAGTGAGACTTTAGAAACAAGAATGGCACCCAACCCAAAACTTCAGCCTTTAGGAGGAAATGAGGGAGGAACAGTCACAGTTCACGTGGTCTGGGGGTCTCACATAGGCCTTGCCTCCCTGCGCGGACTGCCTGTTTCTCATATGACTCCTGCATGGTTCTTTTGACTCCTTTCTTTCTACAAATACCAACTACAAGTGATTTTTAGTTTGACAGTCAAGGTAAACTGGGAATACTGAAAAAGTTACTACACCATTAGCATTTCCATTTAACTTCTTTTTTATCCTTAACAATATAAAAGTGTGTTTGACCCATTTCCTTTTACAGACTCTCTCTCGCTTCTAAAGTAGGTACTGGGGTAAAGTCAAGAAATGACATGTTTTATATCAGTTATTAGTAGCAACAAAAAAGGCTTTTCAGTAGCTGAAAACTGTTCAGAGGTAGGATACCATATCATCCAGACCCAATCCTGAACCTACTTTCTTGATTTCATCTCATTTCTCTAGTCATATTGTTAACTAGGTCTATGAAATTTCCATCTCTGGTATAAGATACAAAACAATTCCTAAATATCCTAAGAAAAACAAGCTATTTTTATGTGATTTCATCTCCTTTTGTGTCATAATTACTCTCTTTCAAATAAGAAGCAGCAAAAAGGATAAAGATTTTAGAAGTATATCTTATCAGAAATTTATAAATATGATAGCACACCACAAAGTGATTAAATATAAGGCTGTTCCTCTAAGTCTAAATCTTTAACTGCTAGGATAAAGATTAAATAACTGAAGCACTTGACTAGAAAGCTTAAACCATTATTCACCGGTTGGCATAAAGGCAGACATTTATTTTTAAAATATAATAGCTGAAATAGAATATGTTTTTGGTTACACTAGAGGCAAAGGAAGAAGTTTACAGGAAGAAATCTTCTGACAGGTTTATTTTGGAGTATAGTGGGATCACACTTCCACATAAAATATTAACTATGTGAAGGACAAACGTCACTGAGAACGGTGAGGACTAGCTGATAGTTCTTGGGAGATCTGCTTAGAAGAAGGGTGAGATCTGCTCTATCCATTAAACATCAAAATCCCTAAAGATCAGTCACCTAGTCCCCAACAAGGTGTCTGAGCTGCCTAAGTCTCTCTTTGGAGTCAGAGAGAGAAAGAGCACCTCAGAAGAACCGTGCATAAAGCCTACACATTAATCTATTTTGAACTAGTCAGCTGATGCTAGATACAGGACTGTATGTAACCTCCCCTGTGCAATTTAGATGCCTGATCTGGTGCAAAACTAGTTCCTGCTTTTTTTTCATTTTTCTTTTCTTTTCTTTTTTTTTTTTTTAAATCTGACATTGTAGAATTCATCATCACAGTACAGAGCAGGGTTTAGAGCCCCATGGTTCCTCTCTGGCTGTCTTCCATGCTTTTCTTTCCACATAAATATGTTCTCTAGGGATACAAATTAAGCTTGGCCATATGCTGTCTAAAGCTCTGCTGGAGGATAACATGGACCAGGAGACACACACCCTCTTATGATCCCCCATTGTAGACACTGTTGCACTCTCCTTATCTCATCTCCCCATCAGCATGTTAAGTCATGGCACTTGTCATGTGCAAAAGAAAGATGTTGAAGGGAATAAAATCTAAAACTTTGATGGGTGCCCAGCATAAGGTGAAGCAGCACTCACCTGGTCATTCTTAAGGTAAATCCAAAACATGCTGCCAATGCTATTCTTTATCTCTGTACTCCCTCTGCCTTACCTGAGCCTGAAGATACAAAACAATTCCTTATCTTATATTCTTAATCATGTGATGTGGGCTGCCATCCTCCGCAAGTCTACAGGTTTGTCCCAGAGTTAGCAGAAAATTTTCTTTAGGGACAGGATGCAGAAGGGGGAAGAGTGGGAGAGAGTAATAATAAAGTTGAGGGCAATAGGTCAAGAAAATAGACATGCAGAAATACTTTACTGGTGTTGAGTGTAAAATAACTTCCTGCTCTCAAATGTAAGCACCCTGCGTTTGCCTCTCAGAGATGGACTGAGATGCGCATGAACCTATGCTCAGCT